GCCGACTTATAGGGCAGGAATAGAGACGCACATGTTGAGAACAGATATGTGGACACAGAGTGGGTGGGGAAGGGGAGCGTGGGATGAACTGGGAGATTAGGTTTGACATAAATACACTACCGTGTGTAAAATAGATAACTAGTGCGAACCTGCTGTATAGCTCAGGGAGCTCAGCTGGGTGCTCTGGGATGACCTAGATGCGGGGGAAAGCGGGCGAGGGAGGTCAAAGAGGGAGGGGATGTAGGTGTGCATATAGCTGGTTTACTTCATTGTACAGCAGAAACTAACACAACACTGTAAAGCAATTTTACTCTAATGAAAAAGAAAACCAAGGCAGTTGGAGAAGCTGATAGAAGTTTGATCATTTGGAGGTCAAATTCCAGTCATTCGTTAAATACACATGGAGGACAAATGTTCTTCTCTCCCCTTGTTCACAGAACATCCACACCTCTGACCCCTAAGCCCATATCCAGCGTGGTCACATGTGGGCAGGGTTCTTACAGCCTCCTGCGTCTGCCTCTCGACTGTGCCCTGATGTTTGCAATGACAACACCGTCCTCTGGAGTGCGGTTGATACTGCTTAGAGAAGAGCGCTCATGATGTGACTGGCACTGCTCATTTTATGCTCACGACACCATGAGGTAGGCACTATCATCATTCCCATCTTACAGATGCAGTAAGTGAGACAGAGCTTATGTGTCTTCTCCAAGGCGGTGTGGAATGGCCCCACGGCTGACCTAAAGCCGGTGCCTTTGGTCCTGTGCCACCTGCTCCCTCAGCATGGGCCTCTCCGCAGGCCCCAGCACCTCCCTGCTGTAGGGACCGCTCCAGCAGGGTGAAGCCAAATCCCCTAGGATGCCTGCCACCACCAGCACGGCCCTGCGCCCGCTGCTCCCACACCGTGGGACGCTGAGTCTCTCTGGGGCTGGGCCGATATAGCTGGGAATGTGAGTAGCTCTCCCTGGCAGGGCAGAGGAGACTTGTCGAAGTGTGGGAATGCCCTGGAGGCATGGGACTCAATTTATGTTTCTAAAGCAGTAAGATGTGAAGTAACAACAACAACTAAATACCCAAAAGAAGAAAAGAAGTCTTTGGCAGCAAGATCTATCTGCTCTGCTAACTTGTAACAGATGTTTGGGTTTTTATTCCTGTGTTTAGTAACACTTAAGAAAAGGAGGTTTATTAGTGAGCCTATAGTATGTTTAATTTTTAAAATAAAAAGTGGCAATTATTTCGTCTGATTTCATAAGCCTGGGAACTCCCCTCTCAAGCACCAAAGCGTACCTACAAATTCCATGCAGGATAAGGAAGCTTAATGGTCTGTTTAGAACTGAAACCCTAACAGGCTTCTTTCTTCCATAATTTCATGGTTTGTTGGGAAAACTGCCCAACTATGACACTGTCATCTGGGATAATACAAGCCAGGCGTGGTGAGTGATAGCTGAGTGACAAGCTTGTCTTCTCCAACAGTGTAGGAGATAAAGCGTGAATTCAGAACTGAGTCAGAAGAATCATTTTAAAAGTGCCAGCTAGTATACAAATAGGAATGCCATGTCACAAGACAACTTTTAAGACACAAACTCTAGAAGAAGTTAAAGGTACAGAGAAATCCACTTACTATCTTGGTGTTCACTGGTAATATTTGGTACCGAGGACAAATGTGACTCTAATTTTGCCCCAAGGAGAAGGCGAGACAGTAGCCCACCTCCCTTGTCCCCCTGACTTTCAGTGAGTGAGACCCTGCTTGGGACGTCAGGACTGCTGGTATGGAAGCTGCCAACACCCGCTGAAGCAAGGCTGCTGAGTTCAGTTTTGATTTTCTCACCAGCTAATGATCCCTAAACGATGTTGTATTTCATTCTGTATTCACACAGTATCCCATTGCCATAGCAACGGGAATGTGATACCACAAGTTTTCTTGTACATGGGCTTCAAATGCTGCATCTCCTCCCTGACAGAGGGGTGTCATGTCCCCAGGTGAGAACCCCCTGAGAACCCCCTCCGCACCCCAGTGAGGGCTCAGGGGCTCTGGTGGCAGAGTGAGTGCTCTGAACTGCGGTGGCCTCGCCTAGGAACCCACCACCAGGTCCCCGTCCCCCTTGCTCTGCGTGTTCCAACCCCATAAGGACGGTCCTAATATAGTGACTTCTGGGGGCAGAGAAAGCCCCAGAGAGTAAAGTCATAACTTCTCTTTGTAAAGCTGGTAGGAAAAGACAGTGAAACATCATGATTTTAGAAGTTTTGTTTGCATGGGAAAAAGGTGTTTTTAAGTTTCCTGGATCAACAACTCCCTGGAAATTCGGGATGAAAGACAAATCATCATCAATGGAGTTCAAGATGGCATTAAATACTCTGCTGCCATCTTGGGGTGAGGACTGAAGGAAGCTGTCCTTTATACCCACCAGGCTTTGTCCCAAGAACCTCATCCTGCCTGCCCCCCAGCCCTCTGTCAATCCATTACGCCCCGCTCCCCGTTGGAGCCATGGTTCTGGCGAAGGTGGAGAAGTGCGCTCCCAAAGCACCCTCCTAGGCCTGGCTGCCTCAATGCCCTCCAAGGCCCTGGGACCAGTGAACAGATCTCAGCTGCTTGCTGGGCATTCCCTATGGAAACGCTAGAGAAGGAGAGGCTGGCTGGCCTCCTGCCTAGGAACTGGAGCTGATGCTGAACCAGAGGCAGTGAAGGCTTCTCCATGGGGTCCAGACCCATGGGGCCAGGGCTGCAGATGGGGCAGCCCTAGCCCCAGGTGGGCATCTCCAGGAGAGCCTGAGGGCCTGACTCTCAGCACCTTCCTCTCCCACTCTCCATCTACCAGCAAAAGCCATCCGGGCCCAAGACCTGCTCGTCAGAGCCCTTGTTCCTGCCTCTGCATTCCCCTCACAGCTTGCGCACCTCTCTGCTCCAGGCCTGAGGCCACACTGAATTAGATAAATGATGACAACAGGTGTCATTAATACCCGACACGTGTAACATACCCGGCCCACGCTAAGTGGTCTCTGTGCTGCATCTCCTTTACTTTTCTCCACGGAGCAGGTGGGAACTGCCAATAGCCCCTTTTCACAGCTGAGGAAAAGGCCCAGAGAGGCGGAGTCAAGCACCCAAGGTCACAGGACTGGGCTGCAACCCCAGGTCCCTCTGGGACTTTGCAGGTACCCCTTTCCACCGAAAAGGGATCTTTTGCAGAGCGGCTCTGTCTGCCACTCGAGTGGGTGGGAATTCACAAAATCAGTGAAAAACCCAACGAATCAGAAGGATTCGGTGAATAACTTCTATCAGCACGAAGCAGAGGCAAGACCTAATCTGCCTGCCCCTCCCGTACGCTCTCCAGCTCTCCCCCCAGCATCCCTCACTGTGGCAGGTTTTGTGGTGGATGATTTTCCCTCACGTGACATAAGAAATGTTGTTTGAATAACCGATGGTGAGGGAGGCTGTGCACACTCTGATGCAGAAATAAAAACCTTTAGAAAGATGCAAGTTGGGGGATACTGGAAACCGGAGAATGGAACGTCAGTCTATAAAATTCAACATGGCCAATAAGGCTGGAGCAAGTGGTCAAGTGTTTTAGTGCTCACGGCTGCTGAGGCATCGGCAGGCCTGGGCTGGGCAGGGCTTCCAGACCTGGGACATTTTTCCTGGGCTCATTTTGTCTTGATTCCACATTGGGCCTCATGATTTCTAAAGCACGTCAGCATTCGTGTCATAAGCACGGCCATGAAAGGGTCCAAGACTTCCCATCACAAGATAAACTCAACTTTCCGGAGACCCGCCTGCTCCAGGACCCCGCTGCCAGGGCGCGTGGACGAGGTGGGAAAGCTGCCCTTTCTCGGGGTGCAGAAGGCCCACAGACCTGGACTCCTCCACCGTGAATCCTCCTGCCACATGGTCCTGGCGCCTGTGCAAGTGAGACCACAGCTCTGCCCTTCCCTCTGGGCACCCAGGCTCCCCGCTGTGACCACACAGAAGCCCTTTTCTGTCAGTGTCACCAGCACTCTGCAGCGAGGCTCCATCCAGGCTTTCTCCTCCCCTCCTGGCCCTGCCCCACAGCATGTCTCGGACCTCATGCAGCCCCACGTGGGCTCCCCACCTCCAGCGTCCCCCGGCTCGGGCCAGTGGGCCTGTTCCCACCTACCCAAGTGCTGCTTCTGCCGTCTCACATCGTCTAATTTATTCATGTGTGGCCATTTGGGTTCAGCATCACAAATATTTCTACAGGCTGTGGCATGCACCATTCACTGGGGCCACATGAACGTGGGAATTTGCGGTCTAGCTCTCTTATTGAGCATCTGTGAGTTGTTGACGTCTTGGTGCAAGGCCCTGAGCCACGTGCTGAGAATATATTCATGCACCAAGAGCCACGGGCTCTGCCCTTGAGGCTCTTACCATCCATTGGGAGCTGGCACTGCCCCTCTCACTCAAGCCCAGCAGAGGGCATGAACCCTTTGGCCCCAACTCCATGGACACCTTCTGAAGTCCTTGCAGGGCCTTCCTCATCTTACTCAGAGGTGCTCTGGACAGGCCAGGTGACCGCTCTAGGCCAGAGCTGCAGTGCCCACCATACTGGGAACCACTGGACTGTGGGGTCCATCTGGCCACATTCTACACACAGGATGGTCTCCTGATTCACGAGACACTGTCCAGAGGGGCCAACGTGCTCTCTGCCACCATGTGGCAGGGCCCAACCTGCGCAAGAGACCTGGGCAGTGCCTTTCAGCCTGGTTCCTACTGGACACATGTTCTGTACCAGCCCAGGGCTTAGTGGGCCTCCCTGGCTTCTGATCTCCCAGGGCCTTCCTCTAAGGGCAGGGGCCTCTGGAGGTGGACACAAATGAACACGCATCTCTGAAATGCTGCTGCTGCTATGCTGTTAAGCCTCCTTCCTCTTTCTCTTTTTTTAAAAACACATCTAACCCGCAAGACGCAGCACCCAGGTCATTTGTCAGAAAGGCATTAGCAAATCCATGACAAAACCTAGGAGCACAGAAGCGGGGAGCCGTCTTCCTACCTTTAATGAAACAGTCCTTGCTGTGGACGATGACAATCTTCTTCCCCAGCAGGCAGGCAGCACGGTGGAGCTCACAGTGGTTTTCGTAAACCCTCCCGTCAGAGCCACACACGGGCACGTAGCTGGGACTGCAGGCCTCCAGGCACCGGCACTCGGGCTGCCCCGTCTCCCTGCTGAGCGCGCACCTGCTCCCGTGGCTGCAGAGCTTCTTCCTGCAGGAGGCCGGCAGCCCACGGTGGCCGGAAAGCCCTGCCAGGCACACAAACACAGAAGGTCAGCCGCGAGCATGCAGGGGTGTGTGGCACGGCCCACCTGTGTGGCTCTTTCAGGCTGTGGTGAACAGAGGCAGTGAAGCTGAGGCCCGGGGGCTCGGGCGCCCCATGGAGCCCCTGCCCCTCTGGGGGGGGGCGGTGCTACGAGCAGTGCCCTGCCGTGTAGAGTCCAGGTTTTTTGGCTGTGGCTCTCGCCAAACATCTCAGACACAACCCCTGCCCATCCTGGAAGGGAGGAGTAAACAGAGGGCCACACGGAGCTGGCAAAGTACCGATGGACCCTGCTGACTGAGCAGAGGAGGGCTTTCCAAGGGTCAGAGGGTTTGAGCCAAGGCTCCCGTAACCACAGCGCAGGGAGCACTTGCCTGTCTCTGGGAGGAAACGGTGTGGCTTGGGGGGATAAGGGTAGCAAGGCGTGATTCTGCCTTATAGACTCAGACAGCCAAGCAGAGGCGTTTTGGTCTGATATGTTAGGGACTGGGGAGCTGTGCTGGGGTCTAGGGAGTAAGTGTGGAGTAAGGAGAAAATGGTACGCGGGCCTCTCACTGTTGTGGCCTCTCCCGTTGCGGAGCACAGGCTCCGGACGCGCAGGCTCAGCGGCCGTGGCTCACGGGCCCAGCTGCTCCGCGGCACGTGGGATCTTCCCGGACCGGGGCACGAACCCGTGTCCCCTGCATCGGCAGGCGGACTCTCAACGACTGCGCCACCAGGGAAGCCCGAAAATGATACTCTTAAGTGTTCAGGATCGGGGGGCAGCCAAGGCAGGGAGGCCAAAAGTTGACCTATTCCTCTGAGGAGAATACAGTTCTCTAGGACACAACAGCAGTGGTGGCACCAGCAGCCTTTGTCCACTGCTCAGTCCTTTCTAGCACACTACTGCAGCCTGCAGCCGTGGGCAAGAAGGCTGAGACCATGGAAACAGCAGCTGCTGTGTTCCTTTGGGTCTCACACTTGCCATGTTGTTGTGTGTCTCCTGCACCCAACACATGCCCATAGTGATCTCAGGTAGTGGTGCCCAGAGCTCACACGCCAAAGCAGCAGGACAGCTGGTAGAGTGGCCTATTGCTGAAAAGGTACACTTCCATGGAGGGCCAAATAAGCATCTACCGCCAACGTGACACTCCTCCAAAGAGTCCAGAAAACTGGATGATTGCCACGTGGCATTAATGGCGACAGATAGGAAACTGAGAATTATAAAGGGATGTCAAGACGCAAATCATTAAAGCATGAATGCAGATTTTATGGCCACAGAGTCTTTGCTTTTAAGTTTTAATTAAACCTTCTTCAAAATATTGGCAAGACAGAATGGCCTGGGCCGTCAAGACTGAACTTTCAGCCTCCACTCCTACCCCATGGGATTAAAATGCCTAAGGGAAAAAAACACTTGTTTTTGGTTGAGTCTGTTTTTCATCATTATAGATTTGAAAAGAAAAAGTCAGTTATCGGTAGATTAACTGCTTGATTCAATAACTCATTTAAATTCCTCCAGCCTTGGCAAGCTGAGAAATATTGACTTTTTCTTGAATCATAATGAACTAGAAGGTCAAAATATCTCTGAGCAGTATAAAAGTGCAGATTGTAAGTGGGCGCGGGAATCTCCTTTATCCACTTGGCTAACTGTTGGCGTCTCACCGCGAAGGCTAGGTGGCATTCACTGGCCCCAGCGTGCACCCTCCTGTCAAGGCTGACAGGCGGCGGGGAGCCAAGGCACTTGGCAGTGGGAGGCTCTGGGCTGGAGGCCCTTCACCCAGGGTGCTTATGGCTGCTTTGCCACAGAGTGTGTTTGATTAGTATGATTCTCCTGGGTTATTGGAAAATGGGTTATCCTGGAGAGCACCGGAGGCTACTGGAAGACACTAACCAGCTCTAAAAATATCAGCCTTTGTTTTCCCAAGTCAATGCCAGGACACAAAGTGCTGCCATTGTATCACTATTTTAATAAACTGCCCTGTGGGATGAGAAGGATACCCACTAGCCACCCCATTTTGAAGAAACAAAGCCCAACTTTCCGAGCCTCTGGTCTTTCAGTTCCTGCTTTGGTGCTTTTGCCCCGGCTGTGCTACCTGTCCAGACTGGGCTCTCTCTGGTACATCAGCTCCAATGCACCCTTGGGGTCCACTTCCTCCACCAGGTGCCTGCTGCCACCTCCAGTCCGAGGGCCCCTCTCTGAACCCCCTGACCCTGAGAGGGTCTTCCCCACTCTGTGGCCTCAGGATGCTCCACGGGTGCAGGACCTTTGTCTTCTTGAGCCTGCCCCTCACTCAGGATTTAAGAAACACAATAGTTTTCAAAGCTGTTCTCCCTAACTGTTTCGGTGCTTAACCCCCAGGCTAGAAGCTGGGATGGGAAGGTGGAAATGGCCCCGCATGCAGTGACTGTTCAGGGGTGTACCTCCCTTGCCACCTCCACGTGGGGAGCTGGAGGGATGGAGGCATGAAGGGGAGGCAACTGTCCATAGAGGTGGGCCTCCTCTGGGGTAAAGGGGACTAGAAATAGGAGTGGCAGTGCAGCGAGGCCCTTCAGAAACCACCTAATCCAGTGCAGGCATCAAAGGAAGGCCAGTGAGCTGTGGACGGGGGTGGGGAGAATCCTCTCTACCTGATCCTATCCCCTCTGAGAAGCCCACATGCCCAGGCTGCACCCAACACCTCTGAGGACCAGCGCTGCACGTGGCGCTTCCGACGCCCAGGTTTGATCATCCTGCAGGTGTGGCTCTGAGCGCCTCCCCCAGGCTGTGCTCTGAGGGGTCAGTGTTAAGAAAACAGTTGTGCCAACCTGTGCTCATCGAAGTGGCCAAGGACACTCAGGTTCTCTCTGACATGGAAATGGGCTGTTGGCAAATATTTGATTCCTAATTATTTGCAATTAAGACAAAAGTACCTTGAAAGCCCTGCACCTGCCCTTCCCAGTCTGTGGCCAGTAGGCCCCCTGACAAGCGGAGAATGCCGTGCATGGGGGCTGCCTGGGGTCCCGACCCCGGCCTCCGAGACGCCGGCCAAGCGTGGTTTCATTAAATGAGCCCCTTTGTCACCACTTCCTCCTTGTTATGAAAACAGAATGAATTCCCCCCTCCTACCAGGACGATGATAAAACAGTAATGGGAAAGGTAACCAAGTGAGACTGCCAGCGACTGCCTACAGTATTTATGAGGACGACCATGATGCCTGAAAAAGATATAATGTGCTTAATTTATAGTCATAAAGAAAGTCATTTACCCGGGTTAGAAACTGATCATCTCACCAAATAAGCTGCTTTTCAACACTAATTAAATGTACCTAACATGGTCAGACATGGGAATTGTTACGTGAACGTGATGGTGGCAGAAGAAACAAGTCCATTTGTACCAGTCGGTGCTAAAGCCTCCCTCTGTCATGCAAATAAGGATTCTCGATTTGACCGCCACAGACCAGGGATCTGCAGGTGGCGGAGGTTAGCCGTGGTGGAGACAAGCCCGCCCGACCCCAGGGGAGGGATCAGAGGGAGAGAAGCCTTCCTCCTTCGCCCAGAGCAGGAAGCCTCCTTCCTTGGCTTCTCTTCTCTGACCAGAGCACAGAGCACAGACAGTTCCGTTGTTTTGCCCCCAAACTCTGACTCAGTCTCTGAAACTGGTTGTTCACACAGAGTAAACCAGTGACCTCTCCCCTCTCAGGGATCGCGCCCTGAGTGGCACACGAGGGGAAACCCCTTCGAGTTCCTCTTTGGGATGCTAATTCCGCTTCGGGCATGTTTGCCCAGGGCAGCATTTCACCTGAGAACTTGTCCTTGCCGACTGAGGGGAGCCCCTCCCCTTTCCCAGCCTGCGGAGGTCATTCTAGGTCTCTGTGGGTGGTGCTGCCTAGGCCCCCTCTGGTCGGCCTCCATGTCCCAGCAAAGGGCTGGGGCTGAGACGCCCACTACCTTGCCCCACCCCTCCACAAAGCCACAGTGAGGTGATGGCTTGGCTCTATGGTGGCTGCACACTCTGCAGGGCCAAAGGCCAAGAAGAGTGGGACGTGGACACGGAAGACGAGAGGCGACAGGTGCAGCCCCAAGTACCGGCCGCCCTGCACGCCGATGGCCTCACTGCTGCCTGCCGTGAACCCCCATCTGGCACCGCAGCGGTCTCCAGCTTCTGCAGACAGAAGGTATTTGTACAGGAATGAGGGGCCCACCTGTCAGCAGACATAGCCTCTTACACACAGATTATATGCTTTATTTTCTGTGCATTGATATGGATCCACCGGGGAGCTGCAGCCCATATCCTGTGGCATGGTCAGGTTCTTTAAAGACCTAGAGTGAAGAGTGGTGTGTGTACAGAGGTGTAGCTATGTGGGCTGTATCAGGCAGGGGCTGAAGGTGATGATCCCAGTACGTGTCCCTACCTCATAGCCCCAGATATGCCCAAGGTGGTCTGGAGACAGAGAGTCTGGTAAACTTTGACTCTGTTTAGCAGAGACCATGCAAGTGCCTTGGAAGTGGCTGCAGAATTTGGGTTTATGCGATAGCCGGGCAGAGACCCAGGTCTGCAGCCAGTGCAGTTTCTACACACCAGATGTGGTGGGTGGTAACAACGGGGTGCTTCAGGAGTGCCTGCCGGCCAGCCCTCCAACCACCTATTCATCCAACAAATACTTACGGAGCACCTCCCATGGGCCAGACCCTATTCTAGGTGCTGGGGACACAAGGCAGACTGGGACACTGTCCTCAGGGCACTGATAGTACAGTGCAGGAAGACACACGAGAGCGTGAACAGGCAAACACACACACAAGACAAATGTGGGTTGGGGAAAAGGCCAGGAAGGAGTTAAATAGGGCGCTGCGGTGAGTTGGCTTTCATCTGAGGTCAGGGAAGCCTTCTTTTTTTTGTGGGGGGGCTTTCATTTTACTTTATTTATTTATATTTTTTAACATCTTTACTGGAGTATAATTGCTTTACAATGGTGTGTTAGTTTCTGCTTTATAACAAAGTGAATCAGTTATACATATACATATATCCCC